AGGGGCTGGCTGAGCGGCAGGAGCGCGCCGGGGTGGAAGCGCGTCGCGAGCAGGGTGGGGCCCGCGGGGAGGTAGGGCGGGGGCGGCGTCGTGGGGCGCGAGGGCCCGTCCGGGACGATGCGCTCGTCCTCGCCCGCGCCCGCGTCTTCCTCGGGCGAGTCCGAGTCGCTGCTGCTGCCGCTCGTAGATGAACCGGCGTCCGCTTCGTCGTCGCGCGCGTCCTCGTCGCCGTACGCGGTGCTATCGAGCCACTCTTCGTCGTTGCGGAGCCACGACGGCGAGGCCTTGTCGGCGGCGCGCGCACCCTGCGCCTTGCGCTTCACGCCGATCAGCTGCTTGATCACGCCGACGCGCGGGTCCGTCGCGGCCGCGTAGCGCAGCCTCCAGCCCTCCGCCGCGGCGCTCTTCGGCGACAGTGGCAGCACGACGTCCTCCTCCCCCAGCACCGGCTCCTTCCCCAACACCGGGAGCGCGAACTTGCCGAGCAGGTACTTGCCGTCCGCCTGGCGGTGCGTCGGCGCGAACGGGATCGGGTCGAACGGCGACGCGCCGCCGCCCGGGGAGGCCGCGACGTGCACGGCGGGCGTCGCGGGCGCGGGAGAGGCGGCGGAGGAGGGCGTGTCGCGCGACGAAGGGGGGACGAGCTCGGGCGGCGGCGGCGGCGCGGGGGGCTCGAACGCGTCCGCGGGCGTCGGCGCCGGCCAGGGCGGGTCGGCGAACGGGGGCGAGAGGCCGAGCGGCGCGGGCCCCGCGGCGGGCGTGAGGCCGCTCCCGAAGATCGGCAGGCCGTGCTCCGCGAGCGTCGTGCTCGCTGTTAGCGGCGCGGCGAGGGCGGTGACGGCGGAGGTGGTGGTGGAGGTGGCGGCGGCTGCGGCGGTGGACGGCTTGTCGAAGAAGCTGAAGTCGTCCTCGGTGAACATCTCCTCGAAGTCGACGCCGACGCCCATGTCGACGTCCATGTTCGCGGCTACCGTCGGTATATCGTGGGGCGCGCCGCCGCTGGCGATAGCGTCCATGTCCATCGCAAAGTCAAAGTCCATGTAGTCGTCCCCAGCAGCGGAGCCCCAGCCCTCCAGCGCGAAATCGTAGCTCGTCGGGGCGGGGGCCGGCGGTGCGGCGGGAGCACCAATAGAGTCCGGAACCGGAGGGACATCCGCGGTGGACGGCGGGGCCATGCCCGCATCCTGGACCGCCGCCTGCTCCCCCCCACCCTCTCGAACCTGTCCCCCCCCTCCTCCTTCCGCAAACCCACCGCCCGCTCCGTCCATCGCCGCTCCTCGTCCCTCTCCTACCCCAACCCCGATCGGTTGCGCCAACGCCAACGGCGGCGGCGACGACGACGACCCCACCCCCACCGCGCCCACATCCTCCTCCTTGTCCGCTTCCGCCTTACTCGAACCCGCGCCGCCCTCCCGCTCCCGCTCCCTCTCCCTCTCCCTCCTCATCCGCTCCCTCTCCCTCTCCCTCTCCTTCGCGACCGCGTCCGTGTACACCGCGACCTCGACCGCGCGCGCGCGTATCCCGCTTCCCCCCCTCGTCCTCGTCGCCGTCCTCTCCCTCCTCTCCCTCGTCGTCCTGCTCCTCCCCGGCGGCGCGTCTTGGGCGAGGGTGAGCGCGCGGAAGGCGGCGGCGGCGCGCGTGGGCGAGGCCGGGGGGTGGTACGCGAACGGGCCTCTGGACGGTGGCCGCGAGCCTGGTCCTCCCCCTGCCCCTCCTCCTACTCCTGTTCCTGCCCCTACCCCCACTCCCCCTCCTCCTGTTCCTGCCCCTACTCCTCCTCCTCCTCCGGGCACTGGACCGAGAGCAGTCGCAGAAGAAGGTCCAGGTCCAGGTCCAGGCGTAGTCGAGCGCGAGAGCGATCTCGCGACCAAGCTCGCGATCGGGCCTGCGGCGGCGCCTGCGGTGGTGGGCGAGGGCGCGGCGGACGACGGCGCAGAGGCCGATGCGGAGGAGAGGCGGGCGAGGTGGGCGAGCGAGAGCGGGAGCGGGAGGGATGGGGCGGGCGGGGGCGGGGACGGCTGGAGCTGCGGGGCGAGGGCCGGGATGTGCGAGAGCGGTGGGGGTGGTGGTGGTGTGGAGGAGGAGGGGGAGGAGGAGGTGATGGGGGAGGAAGGGGAGAAGGCGAGGGAGAGGCGGGCGGGCCAGACGATCGGCAGGCCGCGGTCGGGGTCGAGGGGGAGCCAGGCGATGATGTAGGTCGGCGTGGCGTGTTTATCTTTGTCCCTGTCCCTGTCCCTGTCCCTGTCCCTGTCCGTGTGTGTGTCTGAAGTGGGGACCGAGCTCGGATCGGGGTGGGAGGCGGAGGCGGAGGCGGAGAAGGGGGAGGTGCGCGTGGGGGGCGAGAGGTAAGGGGGCGGGGAGGTCCAGTCGCCGGCGCCGAGCCCGGCGAGGGAGGCGGTGAACTGGCGGGTGAGGGAGGAGAGGGCGGAGGCGGAGGGAGAGGTCTGGGAGGAGGAAGGGGAGGGGGAGGAGGAGGCGGGGTAGGGCGCAAGGAAGTGGGCGGGCGTGTGGAAGGGGAGGAGGACGATGGGCGCGCCGGGGCGGAGCGAGGCTGGGCGGCCGTGAGAGGTGGAAGGGGGAGAGGGGGAGAGGAAGAGCGGGAGGGGGAGGTAAGGCGTCGGGCGGAGGAGAGGATGGATGGAGATGTGCGTCGCGTGGAGGTGTAGGTGCAGGTGGCAGTATATCAGGGGTCTGTTGAAACAGAATAGAAAAAATGGGATGGTTAGCGATGAGGAGAGGCCGAGATGTGGGGACGTGTCCTTCTGACCTTGACTGGGCGTGGTGCTGCCATCCGTCGCTCCAGCGCGACGTGGCCGGGCTCGGGCCGAGGAGGAAGCCCGCGCCGAGCCTCTTCACGGGCGGCTCGCTCGGGTCGGTGGAACATGCGGAGACGCGGACGACGTCGTCGAGGAGACGAGCGCGGAGCGCGTCCAAGAAGAGGGCGTAGGGCAGGCGGAGCGGCTCGCGGGGGAGGCGCGGGCCCGAGCCGGCGCGGCGCGGGCGGGACGGGCTCGCGGGCGGGCTCGGGTAGCGGGGGAGCGCGTGCGCGAGGGGCGGGTTGAGGCAGGCGGGGCAGGGCATGCGCTGCGGGGCGCAGGCGGGCGAGCAGGGGTAGAGGTCCTGCGGGGTGAACGTGCCGGTGTCGCGGAGGACGAGGGAGGGGGGGAGGGAGGCGGAGAGGGAGGCGAGGGCGGTGGTGGACGGCGTGGGGCCGTCCGTCGTGCCGAGGGCGAAGACGTAGAGCAGGCCGAGGGCGACGTGCGTGTACGGGAGGAGCGCGTCGCGTAGCGGAGGCGGGGCGAGGCGGTCGGGTCCATGCTGGACGATGGGAAAGGCGAGGATGCGGCGGCGGGCGTCGTCGAGCGTGTGGAGGACGTCGGATGCAGCCGAGGCCGGTGCGTACACCGAGTAAGAGACGAGCGGATTGGGCAAAAGCGGGAGAGAGGCGGCGAGGAGCGGCGAGGAGGGCGCGAGCGAGGCTGGAAGCTGGGCGAGGAGCGTCGTCGCTGCGTGGTCCGGGTTCGCGAGCGACGTCTTGGCCGCCATCGTCGTCTGCGTCGTCCGTGCAAGTTGAGGGGAAAAGGGGCCCCCCGGTAGATCTTGATTATATGCGTCGGTCAACGTGGGTTTGATGTGCGGGGCAGTTTATCTAGATGAGATTGCAGGACGGCCGCGAGCACGCAAGGTGCCCCGGGTCTTTGTCGAGTGTTGAAGCTCGTAATCAGGGCCGACAAGTCCGCGAAGCCCGAGCAATATCAGCAGGGCTACCTCTCGGTATAACAAGTCGAGAGGCCAGTGAACCAGAAGAATAAGCGAAGAAATATTCGATATCGAGTCCCTCGCGCTACTCGTCCATCGCACCTCGTCCGTCGGTGTCGTGGACGTGTGGACAAGCCCGATCCGGACTGGCGCCTTCGATCACTGAGTCACATGCGGCAGCTCCCTGTTCCACGTGTCCCACCCGAGTGCCCATCGTCAGTGCTCCACGTGCCTCTTTCTTCCCCGTCTTTCTCAGCCCCCCGCCTGGACCGGGTCGTCCACCACCTCCAACGCTGATGTCCGCCGCGATCCCGCCCGCGAAAGCCAAGTCGCTGCGCGCATGCCTCCTCTGCTCGCTCATCCAGACGCCCGTCGACTTTCGCAAAAATGGCTGTCCCAACTGCGAAGAGCTCATGCAAGTCAGTGTCCCCATAGAACCAACAACACGATAAACGGGTTATCTGATACACCCGTTTCCGTGTTTTCTTGATACAGATGCGCGGCTCGCCCGACAGGATCTCGGTCTGCACGACGACCTACTTCGACGGCGTCATAGCCGTCATCGACCCGGAGACGAGCTGGGTCGCCAAGTGGCAGCGAACCTGTACGTCTCCCACCGCAACCGTCCTCGGGCGCTTATCCCGGCGCTAATCCTCGCTCTCACTCTCTTTTTTTTTTTTTTTGCTGCCTCTCATCTTCTGCGTCGAACCAGCGAAATACGTGCGCGGGATGTACGCGGTGCGCGTGAAGGGCCGCGTGCCGGAGGACGTCGAAGCGGAGCTCGAAGCGCGCGGGATCCGCTACCGCCCGCGCGACGGGACCGAGCAGGACTAGAAGACCGTCCCTCCTCCTCCTCCTCCTCCTCCTCCTCCTCCTCCTCATCTCCTACCGCCCCCTCGACCCCCCCGCCTCCCACCCCGTCCCGCCCCTCGACCCCGCGAGCCGGCCTCGTCTTCGGCCTCGACGCCTCCGTCCCGCCCACGCCCCCCTCTCCGTGCCGCACCACCCCCACCCCCACGCCCTCTCTCCCCCCTCGCCGGCCGTCTCTACAACCGCGCCGCGTTCGACGCCTCCCCGGCCGCCGCCAGCCACCCCTCGCTGCACCAGCGGCTCGCCGCCTCCCGCGCGCGCGCGACCGCCTCGCTCACCGCCAGCCTCCAAGCCCGGACACACCTCTACTCGCACGCGACCCTGCGCAAGGACGGCTTCCACGCCGTACCGACGCCCCCGCCCCTCCATCTCCATCAGCCTTACCATCTCCACCACCCTTATCACCCGTACCATCCGTACCCGTACTCGTACATGCACGCCCACTTCGGCCTCGGCCTCGGCCTCCGGCACGCCTGGTGGGCGTGGACCTCCAAATCCAAGACCAAAGACGACGCGAGCGAGGACCGCGCCTTCGGGTGGTGGTGGCGCCCGGACCGCAAGGCGGAGGACGGGTCCTCGTGGGCGCGCCATTCGGATCGGTCGAACGCGTCTACGTCGTCGTCGTCGTGCTCGCGGCACGGCCCGGCGTGGTGGAACGAGCTCGTGAAACGGCGGCACATGGACGCGTCCTCCTCCTCCTCCTCACGCGTCGCGCCGTGGTGGCACACCCATGGCGACGCGTCCTCCGCCTCCCCGTCGCCTCCGGCGTGGTGGGCGCAGCGGCAGCAACGTCGGGACGCGTCGTCGGGCGCTCCCGCATCGTCGTGGTGGGCGCACTGGCAACGACACCGCGACGCGTCCTCGGCTTCATCTTCGACCTCGCATGCCAAGGATCCATCCTGGACCGAGCTATGGCAGCAACGCCGCGCCGTATCCGCGCGCGCTCAAGCCGCGCCCGCCCGCGGCGCGCTGTGGTCGTCCGCCGTGAGGTGGTGGCGCGCGCTGCACTCCGCGGACGGCACGTGGTGGGCAGAACCTGCACCCTCCGCGCCTCCTCCCCCTCCTCCTCCTTCTTGGTCGTGGTGGAAAGCCTCGAATATCGACTCACAACGACGACAACAACAAGACGCTCGCGCCCAGAACGCCGCTCAAGCCCACACCACCTCCGCCTCGACCGCGGCCCCGTCCCCGCCGTCGTCGCCGGGCTGGGCGTGGTGGTCCGCATCGCGCTCGCGCGACCCGTCCTACTCGCCCGAACGGGCCTCGACGAACGCCGCGAACCGGGCGCAACACGCCGAGCGCGTAACAGCGAATTCTGCCTCGGCCTCTTCCGCGGTCCCGTTCTTCGCGCCCTCCGCCAGCGCCGCGTCTCTGTTACCGTCCTCTGCTGGCGCGGCTCCTTCGGCCTCCGCTTCGTCCTTCCTTTCTTCCTCGTCCGCCACGGCGTCCTCGACCTCGGCAGCCTCGTCCTCTCTTTTTTCCGCTGTATCGTCATCCGCTACCGCCGAGCCGTGCGCGAACGCGAGCGCCTACGCCGACGTACCGTCTCCGCTCTCCGGCGCCTCCACCGACGCTCCCTTCCCCCTTTCTGGCACCACAACCGCAACCGCCGAATCTAAACCCCCCGCCGTCGCCGCCTCGACGACACCCGCCTCGACGTCCGACCTCCTCGCCGCGCTCCTCTCCAAAGACCTCGAATCCCTCCGCTGGGAAGACCTCGCGAAGCTCAAGTCGTTCGCCACCGCCACCGATACCACCAACGGCACCCGCATCGAACGCGAGAGCGAACGCAAGGCGACGCGCGGGCCGAGCCTGATACGCTCCCCGATCCAGCGCGTCTTCCTCCTCACCGCGACGCACCAGCTCGGGCTGATGCTCACCGTCGGCCTGCTGCCCGGCCTCGCGCTCGCGTTCATCTGCGACGTCGATCTGCTCCAGTTCGTGTGGTGCCTCGGGTTCGGGCCGGGCTGCGGCGGTGTTTGAAAATTGAAGGGGGGGCGTCGTACGTCGTTTTCGGGTCGGTCGAGGTGGGACGAAAAAAAGGGGTGGAAGCGGTGGTGAAATACTGACTTTGTCTGATTTGTCTGCTCTGTCTCTGTCTCTGTCTCTTTTCTCTTTCTCTCTGTCTTCCATCTTTCCTCTGATATATAGTCTCCTTGTGTATGCACGGCTACGCTGATATATGCCGATCGGCATTACCGACTGTCTCTAGTCTCATAAAACCGATTAATATATATATATATGTTTTGCTGCGCTTCGTTCGTCGACGCACATGCACGCTCAGCTTGCCGACAAACCAAGTCTGCCGATATTCAGGGGCTGCGGAGCCTTCACGGACATATGCCTAGTCGGACTGTAAGTATGCTCGGTCTCAACAACTGCATGACGGGGGCTTCCTCCGAAACATGGGGAATATCGATGGCCTGCTGGCGGACTGGGAAGAAGAAGCCTGCTGCCGGGCGGAAAGAACCGGCGTCTGACGGCGATATGATCATAGCCCCCTCCTTCGCCGACCAGAAATCGTTCTAAGACATCGTTCAGGTCTGGAGACGGTGCAGGGCCGTCGCGATCCAACTTCACTGGTAATAACAAGAACGCAGTAGGAGTAAACTACTAGACGGCTATCGTCAGTACTGTTACAAGCATGAGCTCAAGTTCCTTAGCTACGCGTCGGGGGTGGGGGGATATCCATGGAATGCTCCGTCAGATTAAAAATTTTGAGAAAAAAAAAAGAGGGAGTCGCCCTTCCGGTCCAGCTCGCGCCACCTTTCCGCACATCCGCACGCAAACGTGCGAGTTGCTCGCTTGTGCAGCCTCTCCACGCCGCTTGGACGTCCCTGTCCGCCTTACAGAGCTCCCTGTCCGCATGCAGCGTGGCATGCTTCAACACTTTGGAATGCCGCTGGAGGTTGCCGAGCGAACGTTCGAGCTCGCGGTTGGACGGGTTGAACGCGAGTAAAAGGAGAGATGCGGAGCCTGTGTGAGTAGCGCGATCGGCAGCATCAGGAAAACCCCCAACTGGTGAATTTGAACACATTGGGTCAGATTGTGCTAATTAAAGTAGCTTCAACTAACTTTGGGATAATTTTGTATAATTAAGAGTAATACAAGCAAAATATGAGCCTGTCCTGTCAATAGACAGTCTTATAGGTATGTGCATTCCCAAAACAGTTTACATAGAAGAAGGAAGCATGCTCCATAGCACTGGATGAAGTCCATTCACATGGCACCTGTGAACCAAACTTGGGGATTAGGTGCGCAGCCTGATCCAACCTGCACAAAGGGATGACTTCTGCATGTCTTTCCTCTCACTCTGTCCCCTCCCAGTCTAATGAGTGTAAAAGTTGGTACACGCCATGATCAGGATGTGGAGAGCAAAATGGTGAAATCCATTCAACATAAGCAAAGTAGTCTGACCCAGGAGACAAATCTTGCATAAATAGTGAGACCTGATATTTCTGTGGAATCTTGAAGATAATTTTGATCTGTGCAGCAGGATAATCTAGCCATGAGATTAGTACAGATAGCATTGGTACTAGATATAATAGTACCAATCATTCCTGGACCACACCCATCCTTAGTGTAGTGATACGAGGCCGGTGGGGTGGACCAAGCAATGATGAGTGTGCGCGAGTCCTCGAGGCGCCACAGAGGCTGCCGAGATAGTGGATAGTAGTGTAGGTGAACAGAGATGGGGGACAGAGTTTCGATGGCTAAGCTGGAGGTCGGGTGGTTGCTACGCTGGTTTCGGTCGCTGTGTTCGGTCACAGATGACGGTGACTTCGTGTATATGCTGGGGTGAGCCTGTGCTATTGCTAGTGTACATGGATATCGAGGATTTATACGTGTGTTTGTGCCTGCATTTGTACGCGACTATCACTCCTATCTTTCGCCCCTGCTGATCCCTCGTCCCTCGTCCCTGGCCGTATTGAGCCCATCGCCCGTGCATGCGGTTGTTGTCAAGATCGAGCGGCCGGTAACCGCGAGTCGTGATGAATTGGGGGTGCCGATTTGCCAGATGCGAAGTCGTCGTTGTGGGCCAGAGCAGAGCCGCCGATAAGATGCTGGTGCCAACTGAGCCATGTCCTCGTGCGCGATGTCATTGCGGCGATGCGGTCTGTCGGCAGCAGGGTGCTGGAGGATGTTCTGTGTGCGCCATGCCGAGCCGGGGAAGGGTGAGGTCGTCGAGGCGAGAGCGAGAGACCACCGCACTGCCACCGGGCGTTGAGTAGCGCAATCAAGTGCATGTCCGGACGCGCGCGAAGTCAGAGCGCCACATTAGTCTTGCTCATAGTTACTGTAAGCAGAGGGGCTACCTGTAGATAGTCATCTAAAAAATCCTGATCTATATAGCTGCCCCTCAGACCTATAGTCACTATTGTAGTTTTATGGGTACTGTATAGAAGTAGGGTAGTTGTTAAAGTGTGCTATGAGTGCTATGTAGATGTCAGTCAGTTGCTACATAATTCTATACAGTAGTTAGAGACAACATAGCTCAGTGATTTTAGCTACATAATGATACATATCTAATAGGTGCAGTCAACATAGCACCCATACATTTGGGATGTATCTGTTTAGTGGTGATAGCAGGCCTGCCAATTCACAAATAACATGATTCAAACAGTCTCAGGTCAATGGTAGTGACTCTATACTGTTAGATGATACATGCTTCTAACTATCTACCAAGTGAATGAAAATGTGCTATCTGAGTGGTACAGTCGAACACCTCATAATGCATAGGGTGATAATGCATAAATCTGATAATGCATCGGTTTTGGCCTGTAACCACCATGGTTTGCAGGGAATTGCAGGCAAATTGCATAATTGCATAACACATAGCCCAGATCGTACCTTTATGCATTATCAGATAGGCTGGGCATACCAAATATGGCTATATATCTTCCATATATAGACAAGTAAGCCCCACGCTGGGACCCTCACGTGATGTTAGCAGCACCTTGAGCGTGGACTTAGGGTTAGGGACTACCTTCTTGGGCTTGCATAGGGTTAGGGTCAGCTGCTGGAAGTGCATAAACTTGATAATGCATAGCAATGAGGGTGTAACCGACGCTATGCGTTATGAGATGTTCGACTGTAAGGGCACATTGGCCAATGCGGACTTAGAGATTTAATGCGAATCGACAAGACACGTGATACACATCACGTGATCAAATCTTGCCATGTCCAACTCACTGTCTCCGCCAGCAAGATTGCCACCCACCATGCTCGCAAGTGTGCTGACCACCGATCACCGCGCTCGCAAGTGCGCTTGCAAGTGCGCCACTCACCACGCCGGCAAGAGCACTGCCTACCGCGCTTGCAAAGGTATGGCATCATTTATCGATAAAAATTATGATCTGTGATCTGTGATCTGCATTATAACCCTAGGTTCTGTTTGGTGAAATGCGATCTGACCCTAGCTTTGCCATCTCTGATCTGCAAATGGACCTGTTTTCTCAATATGCACTCGGTATACTCTGGTATGTAACCCTTATAAACTGTATCGGTGACATGCACTATGCATACTGTAACCTTCGATAGGTGATCTGTGATCTGCACATGTATCACTGGTCTACTGTGGTCAGTATGGCCTGTCTGTGGTTGTGCTGTGGTCAAGGTGTGGTCAAGGTGTGACCGAGGTGTGGTTGAGGTGTGGTCAAGGTGTGGTTAGACCGTGGTCGAGGTATGGTTGGGGTGTGGTTGGACTGTGGTCAAGGTGTGGTTGGACTGTGGTCAGGGGTGTGGCTGGACTGTGGTCGAGGTGTGGTCGAGGTGTGGTCAAACTGTGGGCAAACCAGCCACACTGCGATCAGAATGTGTCCAGATTATGATGTAGCTTTTGATTTAACATTTCGTACACTGCTACCTGTAGCCTAATGAATTCAGCTAAAATACATTTCCAGCAATCAGGCGAGCTGCTGCAAGCCCATAAACCCAAACATTTGCAATGGTGGTGTCGGCCGAAGACAAGATCCATGACTGCATCACTGCATTGAATTGGATAATATCAGCTGCTGTCATTGGACCATCGGGGGCCTCCAATGGCACCTCATTGAGGTGAGCCGGCGGACCCTGCTGTCCAGCCCATGTGGTGCTATCCTCTTGCTGATCTCTACCATTTCGGGCAAGCGACCGGAGAACATGATCCTCCCTCAGAGCCTCCCAGTCAACTCCGAATGCTTCCAAGTCTTCATCTGCCATGGTTTCATTGACAACAAGGCGCTGGCCACGTATACCTTCAGTGAGCATATCAAAACCAAACATGTCAGCAGGTGAGCGATTTGGTCCACCACGAATCTGCATGTGGTGGTGATTCCAAGCCTCGGCAAAGAAGGTGAGCTGCTCGTTGATTGCTGGCAGGAAAAGATGGTGGAGAAGCCATATATGGCTTGCATTGTTGATGTCGAGGCCATAGGAGATTTCAAGCTGTGTGAACGATTCATGCCATAGTGATCCAACTTGGGCTGTCACATCAACCCAGAGACGCTCAATGCGCACATTGTGCACACTCCTGTAAACTTTGTTAGTGGGCAGCACAACTAGGAGTGGGTAGGTATACCTTCCCCAAATATATGCACCGCGCTGGCCCGGATAGGCATTCTCCATGAAGGCTGCTACTAAAAGATTCTCCACGCCATGGTCACCCCGCATCCGCACAGGAACCCCATACATCTGTGTGGCATCTATGAAAAGGGCAAGGACAGTTTCACCCTGGTTGTTGTTACTTGCACGGAGGCCCGTTATAAGCCGCGAGTACCCATCGATAAATCCATGAATAACAATTCCCCACCGGATGAGACCTGCACCATATCAATTAGTAATCAGGTGTAGTCAGACATGGTTGAAGCACTGCACATACCATGCTGACCATCGTGGTGCCACAATGCATTGGGACCAGGTACACTGTATGTGCGCCTCTGCACCCGGATGCGCTCAAATATACGTTCTACTGGATCAATGCGAGACAGTGATTGCCTGATGCGATCGCGAGGAACACGGTGCCCAGAGTTGAGTAGCATCCCTTCAAGCATAGTAACCCCAGCATGTGGATAGGTCAGGCGTATGTGCGATAGCAGCTGATCAAGATCGTTGTCGGATATTGAAGACAGTGGCCGGGTGTATGAGACAGTGGCAGGACCAGCTGTAGCAGAACCAGATGTGTGTGGATCACTGGCAACATGTGGAGGGAAAGGATTTTCTTGGGGGGAAGCGATGCCATATTCGAGTAGGGCATTATGAACAACAGTCCTGCTAATGCCCAGAAATCTTGCAATACTCGATGTCGAACGCAAAGAATAGGCCCACCGGAGAAATGTGGGATCAATCACAATGGACGGCCGGCCAGGTCTCCCACTGTGTATAGTTTGTACAAGCTCTGGCTGTCCATGATGGGATGCCTCTAAGGCCTGATTAAATAGCATGCGAATGTCAATCTGCATTGCACCGATGTTGGCTCGAAGCTGTTGGAGCTCGCTGTTATAAAAAATGTGGTGATACTATTGGTGCCTCATCATTAGGATCAGAGATATAACAAAAGCTGTTACAAGCTTACCTGATTTACAAGGGCAAGGTACTCATCGAGGTCATCGCCGAGTCGTGCAATGACATTTGAATCGGTAGCTGACCCAGCTATCTCTGCGACAGCAGAGACAAACCTATGTGATAGTGTACTCTGAAGGCCTCTAGGAGATCATTCATATGGGTAGTTTGGCCTGTGTTATCCATTGCGAGTGTAGACAGCATCCACAAAGGGAATTCTGGGCGGTAAGCCCCAACCTTCGCCAAGATCAGGTCACATGATCAAGATATCGCTGCATAGGCCTATACACTGTGGTTGCCTCTGCCCCATAGCTACTTTCCAGCCCTGTACACTGTCATTCTTCCATTTGTTGCCCTCTATTGCCCTGCATATCATGATGGCAGTATCCCCCCAGTCTACCAGTGGTATGTGGATCTATATGGTCAGCTGCTGTTTAATGTGGCCGATAACGAAGTAGCAACCCTCGCAGATGCTCTGGCCTCATACAGCACAATTTCCTGCACCAGTATACTCTGGAAATCTCCACAGGAGAACCCACAGTTCCATGTTACAACATCCCTAACTACCTCCTCGGATACCATGAAGCTACGACCAAATGGTCGCTTCTCAATCTGTGTCAGCACTGTGATCGATCTCCTTGCCTGTTCTGGCCTGATCCATCCCCTTCCTGCCTGGCTTTCGGCCATTCTTCATGATTGCCCTGCTCTGGATGTTGCTACAGCATCTGTACCCGAGTTGGGCCCTGCTATAGAGCAGCTGAGTAATGGCTATCGCTGGTTAGGGTCGCTAGCCTCCTTCAAGAACTGCTCGGAGATGCCTTCTGATGGCCAGATGGATGTGGCTCGTGAGATTATGGCAATAGACCCAAATAGTCGCACCCCATCTATCCAGGATATCATCACCCAGTATCTCGTTCCTGTAGGAGCCGATCCACATCTGCATTTCATTATAATATTTCGACCCTCCCAGACCACCCTCCTTCTGCAACCCTTTCGCCACCCATCACCCCTGTCATCCAGCACAAGTGCTGGGAGCCCTAGGGTCTCTCCTGGACCCCTATATCTGTCAGGATCAGATGCCGATCTATCCTCCCTCCATCAGGGGTCTGTGCCTTCGCCACTTGGAACACCATCCCCAGGCCTGCCAGACTCTCCAGGTCGCCTGCATGTGCATGCAAGTGACATCCAGGGTACCGATACTGCACGGCAAAGCAGCGATCGCAACATCGGTGCACTGCGCACAGGCATCCACACCCTATGTCTAGAGCTTGGTGTTACCGAGGCACAGATGCAGGCAGCTTCGTTCAGTCCCCAGAGAGGTGTCAGTATACTGTTCTCATCCATACAAAACCACCGTGCCATGTCATCGCTCCTGGTGCAGATTGGGCTACAGGGATATCAGGACGATACCAATGGCAAATCAGTGTGCCGCTTACCAGGCGGGCTGGATCTCACTGCCTCCTCTGTTCTATCTGAGTTCGGCTGGATAATTCAGACCTATAGAAAGAAGAGCCAGGCATACACTGCTGCAGAGCAGTATGCAGCGATGGAATGGCCGGCAAACATACAGTGTATGTAGTATCGACTTTTACTATATATTAATCTGGTCTCACTGCTATGGTAGACGACGATGGACCAAATCGAAAGCTATACATAGTTTGGCAGTCTATCAAGGCACTTTTCGGTCCTGGTGGATTTTTGGATCGTAACCAGCTGCCACCCAGAGGCTCTATGGCAGCCAAACTGACCCAAAACGACCTATATAGCTACCAAACTGCTCTTCGCAATACTCTGATTGCTGGGCCACAGTAGTTTATGCATAGGATAGTGTTCCGTTGGGAAAGCTAGGTTTCATAATCTGACAGTAGACTATCACCAATGTCCCTCTACCACTTCGCCGGTGTCCCTGCACCGCTTTGCCGATGCCAATCCCACTATTCCTGTTAATCCCGCACCTCCGCCGTCAGTCACGATCCAGACCACGTGGCAACCACATGGGTTTGCAGCATTCACCTGCACAGCATCCTCTTTACCCGCCCCCTATACTTATTCTAACCTTTCAGACTGCGGACACATGGGCTCCAGTGGGCGCACCGGAGCAGAGGTCACGTGTGGCGGTGGAAATTCTCAAGCGGCGGAGGCCGTGCGCTGGCTCTCTGCCTCCGCGCTTGTGGGCGGTGAGGAGATAATCCTCCTGCCTTTTCTTTCGTCCCACCCTCCACAAGCTTGTAACAATATATAGGCTGCTCCATTATTTAGATGGTTACCACTAGAAAGGTACATTGAGCAGCCCAGGACCCGCTGACACGGAGAGAAGACCGGCTGAGTAGGCCAGGGGCGCGCCGTCGTGCTTGCAACCAGCCCTACGCCCAAGCCATCAGGCTTCACCCACACTCACGGTGGTCGTCTCCCTGCGCCATTGGGCTCACAGACTGAAGGACCGCAGCCCGCTCGAGAACAAAAACTGAAAGCTCTGTGTTGGGTAATTGGCCAACAGGCTGTACTATATATGGGGGTACAGAAATACCACTACAGCTGTCCTTCAATGAAAGGGTTACCTTCCCCTGCCCCTTCTCCTGGCACAATACTATAGCCTCGCTCTTCCTCCTTTGCCTGCTGCATGGCATCAGCAACAGCCTGGGTGAATGTGAATGTGATCCCAGCAGACCCATGACCATCACTGAGGGTGGTGGCATGCAGGTGCTCTGGCTTGAATGCCAATAGTGTGTGTGCAGCTGACTTCACCACCACCCTAAGCTCCAGGTCTACAAGGTTAGCACCCCCATCAGGAGGAAACCGCTGCTTTGGGTGGATTTTGTTTTTGAGCCGCTCCATAAACCTCCCCGTATCTGTGCAGAGAGAGATGGAATACTTGGTATAGTGCCTGTCAATATGGGACCAGCTAGAAAATGTAGCTCAGTGTGCTGCATAATAATACAAACCTGGTATAACCTACGCAATATAGCCCTTGGTAATAACACCTTGTGGGGGAGACCGCATGGCAGCAGGGTAATCAAACTGCTGACCCCCAACCTTGATGTGATACCCAGTGCCTAAAAACATTCAGCTCAATTAGACTGGATAGATAGGGCTAAAGACCACCTTCACTGATCCTCAGGGTAGACAGACGGGGCATCTGGGCTTCCTCCATTGACTCCTGGATATCCTTGAGGACCTCAGAAGGCATATTGGCACAGACAAGGCCCCATATAACCGCCATAGCACCTATAATGTCTTCATCGTTGGCATCGCATAGCTCCTTGTGCTTCCTAATATTTGATTTGAAGCTAACAGCATTGCCAAGGACTTTGGCATGCCGCGCCCCCATACAAAGGCCAATCTGTGCCATGCTGCCAGCATGGTTGGGCTAGTATGCCATTAGAGAAATATAGCTGGATAAGGTTATATGCGTACCCGGACATTGCCCTGTATCTTGACAGCAGCATTAACCGCATCATTGAGGAATGTGTATAGCGGCACCGAAAATTTGTCGCCCTCAGCAATATGGCGCAGGCAGACAAGCTCAACCTCTGGTTCTAAAATAGCATTAGCCCTAGCCAGATGCACAGTGCAGATGATATTACCTTCGTAAGTCCCTGACCAGAAAATAACAGACTCCCCAGGAGCGACGACGAAAAATCCAGTGTCTGCATTGGCAAGAAATTGGCCATGGAGGGCAGGCCCAACCTCGACAATATGTACCCTATGCTTGCAGGGGGGGCCAACAGGTATGCGCCGCACAAAGCGGACACCAGTGGCGGGATCCACAAAGTCGTCCATAGCAGCCCCGCATAGTATCTCAGCGAGGGGACCAAAATGCCTGTTGATACCTAGCCCGCGTACCTGCCATAGCATTAAAAATAGGATAGGTAGCAGGGTGGGTAAAGGCAGGCTTACCAGGTTGCGTCGCTGGCGTACATTGGCCAGGGGCTGCGACTCTGCCTGCACATCCTTAAGGATATAGGCAAGATGCCTATAGGCCTGCCTCTGCCATCCCTGCACTGCAGGTGGTGCACTGGGCTTGGGATTCTGCCCAGCAGCAGCAATCTTCCTGAGCTACTGCACAGTTAGTGAACAGGAATGTATAGGGGGGAATAGGCATACCACACCGACTAGGCCATCGTTACCAGCAGTGTAGGGCGAACGCAGTGCCAGATCAGTGAGTGTGGCATCTTCGCTGGTGATACTGGTGACAGTGATAGCCTCAACAGCATCCAGGGTGTCTGGGGATGCCAAAAATGCATGCACTATGAAGATAGTATTATTATTAGTGGTGGTGCATTTAGGGTTAGGTTTAGCCCTACATGCATCCCTGCTATCCTTGATGCGATTTTTCTTCTGTGTGCGACTAGGGGCCATGTTAGCTGCAGCTGTGGTGGTGGTGGTTACAGTACAAGGGACAGGGGCACCAGTATGGGCGAGGCAGGGGCTGCCTGCCACAGTAGCACTGCCACATTTAAATGCAGAATGTTTACCTACAGGGGGAATGGAACCAGGGGCTATTAGTTTACTCTCCTTCACACAGCTTAACAGTCAGGGACGATTTCAACCACTACACCATGGGGCTAATGTAGTGAGCCACAGCTCAAACTCTATAAGTGTGCTCCTCAGTTGTACTGGATGCACATCCATGTATTATCCTGGCAGGCAGGGAAGTAGCAGCAATAGGAATCTGACAATTGGGAGCAGGGAGTGGGTATTAGGGAATGTTATGGTGTAGCTATGGTATACATGTCAATAGCTATGCGATGGTATGCCCACCAATTGCCCCTGAGCACTCACACAGCAGCCAGTGATCTACAGCAGCCTGTAGCGACCTTGGCTCGCTGTCTTCCAGGTAGGATGCACCTACAAGGGCTAGTATATACTGGATAGGCAGGTGTGCCATCCGAAAGCAGGTGCGAAACGAAATTTTACCCTGGCGAGCCATGGCAGCTCCAGTACCCCGAGGGGCATATGATGGGCTGGCCTCATCAACGGAGTCCACCTGTAGCAGTATATATCAGCTGCAGGCAGTTGCTGTGAGCTGGATCGGTGGCTCACCATCAGCACATCACCCCCTGTAGGTAGGAAGGGGCTACCAGTGGCTGCCCAGACGAAGTGCTGGCTACGAAACCCAGCATCGTCGATCTTCGACAGGTCAATGATCGATCCGATCTGTCCCCTCACCTCTTCAAATTTACCTGGGCATGGTATACCCGAGCCACTCAGAAAAGAGCGAACGAGGGAGGAAAAAAGCATAGTCCTGTCCTGGGAGGCTGCCTGCAGCTGGGCCACCAATTGGGGGGCAGGATCGGTTATCCTAATCAACCCATTGATTGCACTGAACGAGGAGATGTGGGAGGTCCAGACAAGGTTCAGGAAGGTTTCAGACCCCCCCTGTAGTGATGTGATGACCTAACAGCTTTATGTGAGTAAGGTGGGGGCGATGTCTCCAAAGAGTACATACATTGAGCAGGTTGAAGCCACCTGCACAGGGCAGTGCAAGGCCACTGAAGAATGCCTCCCATTCAGGATGGAGATGTGGCTCAGGCCCTATAATAGTACGATAGAGCATCTCACAGGCCATGGCATCGTGTAGGGCTGGGGTGCGACCCTGTAGAGCCAGCACCTAAGGGGTCATAATCAGGCTTTGGCGACCAGTACAATAGCTGCAGTACCCACCTCCATATCGTGCCAGGTTGCGAAATGTGGGCGAAATGGTGCGAGGTTACCAGCTGGACCAGCAGCGATCCAGTCTAAGATTGTCTTTCGCAGCTCAGGGTGCCATTCGCCAATGAATGAGGGGTGTAGGGCATTGATATCTTTCCCATGAACAGCGAATTGGATGATGCAGGGGTCAATGGGACCAGGCATGAAGCCATGGATCATGCAGAGTGAGGTAAGGGCCCCGAGCCTTGCGATAGCAAGCAGACGATCATCCGAAATCCAGCGAGCAGCCGAAGAGGGCAACTGAGTCTTAAGTGTCGATCGGCCATCTGCACAAGGAAGATACCACACAGCCTGCTGGTCGAGATACTGCTTCATTGCAGTCCAGGTGACCTCCCTCTCCAGCCCAGCACCGAACGAAACGCTGATGCCATGATCGTCAAGCCTAATATTCGCATTAGTTAGAGTAACAATACGATAGGGTATGCAAGCTTACGTTTGGAACTCTCGATTTGGTGAGGGAACATGTTGGAAATCGTGATCGGTGATCGCCTGCCCGATGGCTACCAAATACAGGTCGGCCATCGCACTGACATTGCTGCCCTGGATGCGAAATGCATGGGGGTCGGTATTGGCTGTTGCAGCCTCGTATATAACTTTGGGCAGTGTATCGATAGTATATGTCAAGATCGGATACGGACAAGGGGTAACGGAGTCGGAGGACCGAAGTCCAAAACGTATATACGTAGAATAGAATGAAATAGAAGGGAGGAACTCAAGAGTGAAGTCGGAGCGGAGTCGGAGACGCGTCGGCGTGAAGTCGATAAGTCGGAAGCGTTGGTGGAGTCGAGATCGGATGCGGACCAAGCCTAAGCTTGTGCGCTAGGCTGCTACGCGCTCTGAGTCCGCAGGAGGAAGAGAGTAAAGCTTAGTCGATATTCGAACTGACTATCTACGGTACAGTTCGACGGTTTATATGTACAAAAGAGAACAATGGCAAAGTCGGAGAGTCGGAGATCGGAGGCGCCGTTCGGCGCACAAAGGGAACATACGGAGATGAGAGATATCGTATGGAACACAAAGGGAACATATCTACGGAAGAGACGGAAAGATCGGACCGAAAGATCCGTCACAAGCGACGGGAAACTAAAGTCTACAAAGGGAAGCTATGATGTCAGACAAAGGGAACAGGAAACAGGAAAATCGGAGTTGAATCCGTTCAAGATCTGGAACCACCGGGGCGTTGAGCCGCCGGTGGCCCGGTGCATGTGATAGGCGTATCCCGCCTTCGACCGAAACGGGAAAGTCGGGATCGGCGTCGGTGAAGGAGTCGGCGAAGGGTCGGAGATCGGATCGGAGAAGATCGGTGTAGATCGGTGACGATCGGCGGAGCAGGTCGGCGTAGGTCGGTCTGGATCGACACGTGACAGTATACGAGAGTGGGCCACCATCAGTAGGCTGTGAGGGTGATGTCACGGGTCGATCATCACCGACCATTGCCTACTATCCCCGACTGTCCTCTGACGTCTCCTCCGCTCTTCGCCGCTCATTTTCCCGCGGTCCTCCGACGGATCTCCGGTGGACTTTTCGTATCTTTGACTCCCATATGTTCCCTTTGTTCGTCCTTGCTTATTCTCACACTGTATTTCTCTTCCTTGTGCTCGGTTCTCTTGGCACTGATTCCCTTTGTGTTCCACATGTACTTTAGATTGATTCCCTTTGTGTTCCACATGTACTTTAGATCTTCTTCCCTGTTCCCTTTGTCTTACTGATGATAGATTCATCTCCGACTTTTCCATTGTTCTGCTTAGTACTTATACCAGCTCACCTGTACGATATTGCTCAGTTCCAATATCAACTAGGCTTTCCCCTTTGCTCCTAAGCAGACCTCGCGTGTGTAGCGACCCTTCGGGTCAAGTCCGCCTCTGCCCCGCTTTGCTCCGACTTTGCTCCGACGTTGCTCCGACTTTGCTCCGACGTCAGCACACCACTCTTCTCGATATTGTCTCTGAATCGCATCCACCCGACTCTGTGTTGTGGTCTGGGCAAGTACACCCCTGCTTGTTGGACTTAGGTCCACTCGTCCCAGACCCGTTCAGCTTCGGTATCGTTCATCTCCGCTTTTCCCGTGCATCGGACCTCCACATTACCGATATTTTTGCCCTGCAGTTCCGTCCCTGACAGGTGACCAGGGTGCTAATGGCGACCAGATCCTATCTGGAAGAATAGACATGAGGCTACAAAGAGACTGCTGGCGACCAAGAGGTCGAGGGGCATGGGTGGACATTGGGACTGCCGATTGCAGTAGGTGACCTGGTGGTGGGGCATCATCGATTGCAGCATCGGTTGCAGCATCAGCAGCTGGACTGTCGCCCTCCATATCTTTGATATCCTCCATGTCCTCCATTTCCTCGCCCCCAGATGAACTTTCATTGCCTGTAAGGTCAGGGGGCATCGCAGCACCATTTCTGTCCTGAGGGAACCAGGAATAGAGCTTCAGCCCCATACAGGTGTGTATTCGGCCCCTGTCAACATGTTGGAGGGGTGATTCAATGACACCTATACAAGACATAAGTATAGGTAGCGAGAGACTATCGCCAGAGACTTACCAAGATGCAGAACAAAGTGATCGTCCTCGATGCAGCAGGGAAGATTAAAGCGAACACGATCCTGCACGAGGTTGTTGAGTGATGCATTCTCTGGTGCATGAAAACCCCTAAGATGGATCTGACCAGTGCTTTTTCGCAGAATACCCTTGTTGACAACATGCAGGGCATGCAGTGGAAAGCCCTCGCCCCTAGTAGTGACAGGAAGTGGTGGTGGTGTAAAGCCATACTGCATCACCGAGTCATCCATCTTCTGGGCTGTCGCCTCGAGGATAGTGGACAAAGATCTTGATGCAGGGATCTCATCCCGATACAGGAGCCCATGATTCTCCAGGTAGTCGCTGAACAAATACCGAGTGAAGTTGTATAGCACATGCTCGCCAGGTACAGAGCCCTACAATAAATATTTAGATGAGATGAGCCAATACTGCCCAGGTAAAGCTTTGGTAACATACCTTGATGTTGGGGAAAGAGTCAGGCCTGGGTGGGTATACCTTAATCGTCACCCTTACAGTCGGTTCAGCAGCCCCATTCACAAAGAAAGGTGCGAAGCCCTGACGAGAGGCAGAGCGAAGTACAGGAGGGTGCAGAGAAGGGCCCCTGCGACCTCGACGAGGCAGCATCGTGGGCCTTGGGGTAGTGGCAGCAGCCGATGCCCGTCGCTGCTGATTGACATGCCCAGTATCAAGCATCAGTGCGAGGAGGTGTATTCCTGGAAATGGCTGATGCCCAGCTGCCCCTGCCCCAGGTACACCAGCGAGAGAAGCTGCAGGTATTGGTAGGGTCTGCGATGTAGGGGGGTGGATGCTCTGATATGGCTGGGTAATCGCAGGGATACGAGGTGGCTGTGATGGGGCCATAGGTGTAGCAGTGTTTGGCAACAGCGAGCCGGATATATGGGGACGAGCAAGTGGCTGGGTGGTGGAAGCAGGGGGTGCATCTGAATGTGGTGGGGTAGGGAGAGGGTGTGGTGGAGCAGCGAGCGAAGCGAGGGTGCTGCCACCTGGTGCCGATGTCACAGCAGCAAATTGGCTCCCCTGGCCCTGCTCAGGCAATGCTGTTGCGATGGTTCCCTGGTTTCCGAGGAGCAGCTGGAGCTGCCCCAAATGAGGGCCAATCTGGGCGAAAAGAGCGAGAAGTTTGGGGGACAGATTATTCGACTGCATCTGGGTTGTATCAATATTTGGATGGTGAAGCTCAGTGACAATATTACCACTTACTATGCAAAACAGGGTCAAGAAAGTAGTGTGGTAGGCAAAACTGCAGGGGTAAATTGTGGCGAACAGGGAAGGTGGAGAGCAATTATGATTGTAACCTGATCGGAAATGAACTCTATCAGTCCAGGTGCTTCGAAGTGCGATTAAGACAGTGACATACCTGATATTGGACTTAGTGTAGTCGGTGGTGTATAGCTTAGTATTGGATGGATGACAGGGCAAAGCCTGACCGACAAAAATAGATGTACCAAATCAGTTTGGGTAGGGAAGACATGCACGAGCAAGAATAGCCTACTGGTATTTAGGTGAGGTGACCTTGTGGAATAGGGAGTGTTTGTGTTGGTGGTGGCGAGTCGAAATGCAGGCAGGGGCACAAAGAGGTCGGGCAGCGAGCAAGCTAGTCTAGGGGGAGACAGTAGGGCGAAGTAACAGTAGGGCAAAGCGACAGAGTCGATGACTCCTTTCCCTGGGTGCTACTGGGCCATGGTTAGCATGCGAGACCACAGTAACAGTAGGGCAGCCATAGCTCACTATGTTTGGCACCGAGCATGGTCACCTCTATGGTCTCGGCTAGAGTGTAGTGTGGCTGCACCTGTGGTCTTGGCTGGGGTGTGGTGTGGTCTGTCCGAGTGTGGTGTGGTCTGCCCGACCACCATAGTTCCCCAAGCTCAGACCACAGTATAGCTAGGCATGACCACAGTACACAGATCGCGATCACACAGATGGGGCAGGCCAGCCAGGTTCGATTCACGCATCGCAGATCACAGATCACGAGGCGTTATTTTACAACGATAAATAATGTCATACAAAGGCGCCGGACGCGGCGCTGACGAGTGCGCCGTCCGCCCTCCTCGCGCCGACAAATGCATGACCCACGGCGCTGGTAAGTGTGCCGGTCACCACGCGCAAGTGCGCATACTCGCCCCGCGCCCTCAAACACCGGGACCACCCTCCATCGTCTCCCATCGAGCACGAGCCGCCAACGCGGTCGGGCTCGATGTCGCCTACCTCCCTCGTGCCCCCTCGCGCACTATCAACACCCCATGAGTCGCGCGCGTCGCTCGACCTGAGGTGACGCAGAACTGACGAAAACCGCCAATTCGATAGGACGAGTGTTGTCCAATGCCATGCGTTGTGTTGTCGTGTCTTCGTCGTCGTGCGCTGACAACGCGGTCTTACAGAGCCCATTCAGCTCACCTGGTCTGATGGAACCGCGCCCTACTTCCTGTCCCTCCTTCCTGGTATGTAGAGATATAGTGTTGCTGCCTGTTTCTGATGCCTGACGTGCGATGTCTAGGTGGCCAGCCCTCCGCGACGCCTCTTGAGTCGTTCATTCGACGACTTCGACCTCGTTCACTTGGACCGTCAACCTCCCTGACATGTACGTAATTGATGGTTGCGGATGAAACATGTCCATTTGAACCGTATCTTGGCTTCTTCCCAGCACCGCCCAGATCAAGGATAGCACGGGTACCCTCGCGTACTCCGACATTTTCACCATCCAGTCGGGCTCGGACTCTAGGTATGATTCCCGCGTGCGCATGGTGTCGTGTGTGACCCTGAGCGGGCTGTTGACAGCTGCTTGACCTCATCCGGTGCTGCGGGCGCGATCTCCAGCGGCTCGTCCGCCACAACCAGCGGCGCAGCTGCGACCACCACCGGCACCGGCTCGTCCGGTGCCTCGACAACCGCCGAGACCTCAGGCTCGGTGGCTGCCACTGGCTCTAGCACCGCCAGCTCGTCGGCGTTGAGCACGAGCAGCAGCTCCAACGCCGCGCGCGGCAGCTCCTTCAGCGCGTTCGGCATCGCTGGCGTCCCACTCCTCCCGCCTGCCTCCGCTCCTCCCTTCCCCGCGCCAACCTTTTGCCCAGCCCCGAGCGAGAGCCGCCAACGCGATCTCGCCTGGCGTTGCTTACAGCTACTCTCAGAACGATAGACGAATGCGCCTGCATTCGGTTCGTGTGCCGTAGCCGCCGAGCTCCACCTTTCCCATATATGGAAAGGGGCTCTTCTCATGAGTTTGGTGCTCTGCGTCCATGCTCATTCAAAAAATCAAGCATCAAATCGACAGAGCCCGGTCAATTAATGAACACAGCGCGATTTAAGGCAACTATTGTTCGAGTAGAGGCGTGCAGCTAGCAAACAAAACATCGTGGATAGTCGTCCGTACATGCGGAGGTTCAAAACCGCCGCTTCTGAGCCCCAATCGTTGCTTCCATTGGAGTCCGGCAGGCTATGGCACACGAACCGAACGTGGACGGATTGGTCTATCGTTCTGAGTGTAGCTGTATCCTTCGCGCCCCCGCTCTTCGCCCAGCCCCAAGCACGAGCCGCCAACGCGGTCGCGCTCGGTGCCACTTCCACCCCGCACCGACCGTTGGCCCAGCGCCAAGCTCCCCTCTCTTGCGCCCTCCTTTGACCAGCCTCAAGCCGGAGCCAACGTGGTCTCGCTGCGCAGTCTCCCTCGCCTCCTACCCTCCTTCGCCCTGCACCGAGCCCGAGCCGCCAACGCGGTCGCGCTCTGCCTTGCCTTCCCTGGCCCCTCGTTTGCCCAATGCCGAGCCTGAGCCGCCAACACGGTCGGTTGGCCGCTCGCGCTCGGCGTCCCCGGTGTGCCCCATTTGGCATTCCGGCATACCCACCCTGACTCGGCCGCACTAGAATGGGCTGCCCCCAGGTAGTTAGTAGGCTGTTTGAGGTGCTTTTGGAGTTTGTATTAGTAGTGAATTGTGTATGCAGTCTTTATGAGCTACGCTTGTTCCTCACTGAACTGTGGTGATGATACTAGTGAAGAGGAATGGTCACCAGCAGCAAGCCCTGCTCAGGCAAGGATTACCCTGGATTATCTCAAATTATTGATATGTTATCCCCAATTACAACTAATTGACGGGGGACCTGTTGAATCCGGATAATTGGGCATAATTTGCCTACTTCGGTGCATTCAGCACAATTACTTCTAGATCTTTGCAACCTCAGCTAATTTCAGCTGATTTGTCCCATGAGGATGTTCCTGATGAGGGTTCAGCGAAACGCATTGACGCGTGAAAGGTAAGCGGGATGAGACGTACGTCGAGGTTCTCCGGCGTCAGTGAGAAATGCACGGCGCACGCAGCAGCACACGTCAAGGACGTCGCCGTATATGTCTATCAGAGCGTTTTGAACGTGGAAGTTGCCCTCATACAACGTTGTGGCGTAGTCATGCATGTAGCGAAAGTTTTGCGCAATTTGTTCAAGCCCTTTCGTGATCGTCTCAAAGTAGCGGGACACCCGCAGCGCGCTCTGCGACATTTAAGGTGCAATCATGAGTAAGATCGATGGCAACTACTTACCACCATCAAAAATCTCAATCCGCCCCATACCAACGCAATGACATCTGGATGAGACGACACGAGTGCATCGATCACGGAGAGATATGGTTCAAATCCGTCCACAATGACGCGGAAGCGATCGATGCAGCGTCGGACACGGCTTCCCCTCTTGTGAGCAAGATCGAGATGCTGAATGTGTAAGACGATCTCGCGATGCGAGTACCGTCGGAAGCACGCGCGATCGATCTGTTGAACTTTGTATATTGTATATATAAGGAAATATCACACACTCGTTACCTATTATGTATAGATTCTCTCACGTGTTCTATTCTTGTGTTCTTCCTTGCGATCTTCTATCTTTCCTGATTGATATTACCGCTTTAGGCACATTCTTTTGTTCCCTTTATGGAAATGCTTCCCTCGAGCTCCCTCACATATACCAGGAGCTCTCCCTCCGCATCTCCTCAGTCTTTTCCCTTATACTTGACTGAGGAGTGAGTCTGCCATGTCCCTTCATGTCCCTTATGTCCTAACGTACTTATGATGCCTCTGTAGTCATATATTAGGTACTACATGCGTAACTCAGTCTTTTCCCTTATACTTTGACTGAGGATCATATATTAGGGAATTATCGCTCTTGCCTTCAGATCCAGAAGTTCATCACGATCGGGGTAAGTTTGTCGTATTTTCGTTGGAGAGCTATAAGGAAAAGCGCGTTTGAGTTGTCAGTGAAAGCAACACCTGACATAGTGGATAGTGGAGAGCTGCCAATGATGGGGAGGAGAGAGACCAAAAGCTTGGGGCCAAGGACGGCGTTGGTAGAAAGTCCGGCGATGGCTGTAGAGAAGCCGTCGACCGCGTTGTTTGCAATCAGAAAGCCCGAAACTCATCAAGAAGCCCTATAGCTGGGGTGAGGCTATACGGTCTGGGCACTGTCGGCCCACGTTTCCTTGTAGCTGATTCCTGCCAGCGAAAGGACCACAAAAAGCTGAGGTACGACGCTTGCACACCAAAGGCACCTAAAGGAGAAAGTGTGGCCAGCCCCAAAAAAGCAGTTGAATACTAGGAGCTGTGTGACTGGAGCACTGAGCATGTAAACACAGTCAATGCACGTCCGAGCTATTGTCGTAGAAGACTAAGAAGATGACCAGGCGGCAGGCCACGAGAATACAGTCAAACACCTGATAACGCATAACGTGGTTCCGCGCGTCGAGGCTATGCATTATGAGATTTATGCATTAGCGTATATTAGGAATATTCATCTATTTATGGGGCCCACATATCGTCAAGAGTCATCTGGTTTGTCTCTGCAGAAAGCTGATCTCGTGTTACCTGTGCCCAAAGCTTACGCAGCTGTCCACAAAGCTCAGGTTTGTCATACTGTATACAGACGGCCTCCAACCGCGCGCACAGTAGTTTGACCTCATCCGGAGACTCGCCCGGGGGAGGTTTGTCATCGTCGTCATCCTCAGGCTCCGAGTCCGACTCCTGCGTAGGGTGAAGCTCGGACTGAAGCTCCTCAAGAATGTCGGCATCTCCACGCGGGTAAGTGAAGATGGTTTGACCAACTTCGAGTTCTTCTGGAGGATTAAGGACCTCGTCGAG